CGGCCTCGGGGATGCTCCCATGCCAGGTAACGTGGGGTCTGGGCTCTTCTTCAGCTGCAGCATCCCTGGGGATCCCCAGGGGTCCCCATGGGCTCCCTGCGACTGCAGCCTTGGGGGGATGTGGGGTGCAGGGCTGTGTGGCAGGGAGGAGCATGCAGGGGTCCCCTCTTGCTGGCAGGACCCTGGGTCATTGTTACCACAAAGCAGCTCTAGTTTTGAGGTTGGACCCAACTTTCTCCAAATTTTCCAGCTTTTTATATCGAGCTTGTGGAGGAGGCTGACGGCAGGAAGGTTTGGGTCTCGGGGTGGGGACCAGCACTGCCCTCACTGAGGTGAGGGGCAGGGGGAAACCCCATCAGCTGCCCTCTGGGGAAGCTGAGCTGCTGCCTGCCCAGTGGGTGCCCACCTGTGAACAGGGGGGATGTTCACAGGGGCTTTGTGACACTCCAGACATAGCTGTTGGGGTGACAACGTGTTCACTCCTCCGCTGCGCTTGTCGCGTTAAGCCGTGCTGAATCCAGAGGCATTTGGGGAGGATTTACAAGCAGGAGGTTGCAAAGCCCCTGGGAACGCAGGCAGGACACGCTCGGGCTCCTCACTCCCCCCCCCTCAGGCAGTGCATGGGGCCAGGGCACGCGGTGGCACCGTGCCATGGTGCTTTGATGCACAGTCCCTCCCCAGCAGGGGGGATGTCCAGCCCCAAACCCCTTGCAGCTGGATATGCTTCTTTCTGTGTTTTGCAGCCATGTCCCTCTCTCCAGCCCCAGAACTGCAGATTTTTGGAGGGACGGGTGTGGAGGGGACTCCCCTGTGTCCTGTGCCCAGGCGGGAGGGCAGCCCCGCTGTGACTGAGTGTGCAGTGGGGGGGCTGGCACCCGGCCCTTCGCGTTTGTGTCTGTGGGTGTAAAATATTTCCTTGGTAGTGAAGCACTAGCAGCCGGAGCTGTTGGCAAAGCTGGTGTGATCTGCAGTCTCTGAGCGGGCTGCTCTGCAGCTCCCACCAGCCCTTGCAGCCATGGCTCGAGGTGGGCGAGCTCAGCCCCTCCTGGCAGGCAGGGGAACCCTTGCCTGGGGCTCCTGGAGCAGGGCTGCCCACGCTGTGTGTGCAGGGCTCTGGTTAGCGGGGACCCTGCTGCTGCTCTTTGGGGTGCAGGGCTCTGGCCGGGAGGTAAATCATGGCATCACAGCCTGGTTTGGGTGGGCAGGGACCTTAGAGGCCATCCAGTCCCACCCCCTGCCATGGGCAGGGACATCTCCCACTAGACCAGGTTTTGCCAAGCCCCAATCCATAAGGATAAATCTTAAGGACTGCCCAAGGGCTGCAGCAGTCTTGGCTGTTTCCAGCAGTGAGATGCCAGGTCCCCAGCTTGGGGATCCTCCCGCTGCCCCAGCACCAACCCCTCAGGGTGTGTTCCTGCCACCCCCCCCAACCCCTGCAGCCCCCAGCACTGCTACAGCTGCATTTCCCAGCTCAGCCCAACTTGGTGGCAGCATCGCCTGCTCCTGTGTAGGGACTGGAACTGCAGAGGGGCCTCAAGTGTGGCCTGGGCAGCTGCCCGGGGGTGTCAGCTCAGCACGGTCACAGCACCCGGAGGTGTTTGTGACTGACTTGATGACCAGCCTGGACTGCCAGCCAGCAGCTGTCAGGGACAGTGACAAGTCACACAGGTGGTTGAGTGACTGCAGCCAAGGAGCTGCTATGGGCTCCAGGGACAAAAAGAACAACAAGCAGCTGGGTTCTCTGTCCCCATGGGAGACACTGGGCCAGGCAAGTTGGGGGCCGAGGGGTGGAGGGGGGGCGTGTAATTTCCAGTGTCAGGAGGAACCCCCCGCCCTTCTTCCACAGCACTGACTGTCCCCTGTCTCCCCAGGCCTGGAGTCTCTGCGGGACAGTGCCCACTCCACCCCCGTGCGCTCCACATCCCACGGTGACGCCTTCGTCGCCCCCGGCCGGGGCGGCCGCGCCGAGAGCAGCGACCGCGTGGCCGTCATCGCCGACGAGAACTACAGCCCCGCGGACAGCGTGCTGCCCACGCCGGTGGCTGAGCACAGCCTGGAGCTGATGCTGCTCTCCCGACAGGCCAACGGGGCCCCGTGCAGCATCGAGGAGGAGAAGGAGTCGGAGGCGGGCACGCCGGCGGCGGCCGAGGAGCCCGGGGCAGAGCTGTGTGCCCTGTGCCCGGGCAGCCTGGGGGCGGCACAGGCCGAACAGGTGAATAAGTTTGTTTTAAGTGTTCTCCGTTTGCTCCTTGTGACATTTGGACTCCTCTTTGTTTTGCTCCTCCTCCTCATCGTCCTTACCGAGTCCGACCTTGACACTGCCTTTTTCCGCGATATCCGCCAGACCCCCGAGTTCGAGCAGTTCCATTACCAATACTTTTGTCCCCTCAGGCGATGGTTTGCCTGCAAAGTCCGCGCCGTGGTAAACCTGCTCATTGACACCTGAAGGCAGGAGCCGGCACCTCTGGCCGGGGGCCTGGGGAGAGACCTGCCGCCGTCCTGGGCACACACACTAACCCTCCCTTCCCGACCCAGAGCACCCGCGGCCCAGGAGGCACCCCGGGAGGAAGGGGGGGACGCAGCCCCCGAGGCCTCCTCTTCCCCGCGCTCCCAGCCCCGGAGCCCACACGACTCTTACCAGTTGGATTCTTGCCGACGCGCGCGTGACTTCGGCAGCACGGAGTAACAAGGAGTTGATTTTACTCTTGCCCCACCCCCCCCCTTCATTGTAGGAGCATCAGCCGGGAGGCTGGCGGTGCCATCTTATGCAGGAGCTTCAGCAATGGTGCTACCGAGTATTGATTTAACCACTCGTGTACTCTTACGTTATGAAATCCGCCACTGTGCACCCACCACCTGCCCTGCTTTGCAGCCATCCCTCCCGGGGCCTCCGCGGGGCCGTGCTGGGGGGACACAGTGGGATGGCCCCGGTTCACCCCCCGGCCCAGCAGAGGGGCAGCCCTGGCTCAACCCTTCCTCACTTCTTTTTCTTCTAAGCCTTCAAGTGTGGCCGGTGCTCCCGAGGGCAGGGAGGGGACACCAGGCACCTCAGCCCCACCTGGGCACACCTAGTGACCCAGTCGGATGTATCAGGCAGACCTTCAGCCTCCTAAAGGTGTACCTGCTTTCTACAAAAAAAACAAAACACAAGGAAAAAAAACAAAACACCAAAAACCAAAACTGTTCCAAGGCTTATTTTAACAAAAAAAAAAAAAAAAAAAAAAACTATTATATAATCAAGTCTTTTTTTACTTCGTGGATTGGGTGACCGCGGAGCCGAGCGGGTCACGGTGAGCAAATGGTTTCAGAGGAAAGTTCTGTAGCCTGGAAGCCTAACACTGGAATAACCCCCTGCTAGTCTTGGGATAGAAAAAGGAGCTCGGACTTTGTGACTTGTCTGAAGATAGAAAGGACAGAACAACAGGAGTGGAGGTGACACTGAACAAGCCAGTGAACAACCAATAGATCAACCTGTTCTTAAGCAAAAATGAGTAAAACCAACTCATGGTACACGTGACATAACCGGGACCTTCAGTGACCTGGGAAGCAGCCGCCTATGCCCACAGGGAGCAATAAAAGCCCGTTCTGTAAAGTTTGGGTAGAGAAGTTGGACACATTTGACAAAAAAAAAAAAAAAAAAAAAAAAAAAAAGGTGAAAACAGGTGAGCAAGTTTTATTTCATCTCAGGGAGAGATTTTACGTAAGCTGGGGCCATAACTGCAGTTTTACACAGCCTGATTTCCGTGTTCTTGTCTCTGAGCATCCCACCCCCAGCAGGGCAGGAAGGCGATGACCGGGGCAGACCCAGCGCCGCGTCGCCCGGACACGGAGCCTTTGTCACGGCAATAAAGAGAGAGGCCCCCTTCACTAGTGCCCGTCAGGGAGGGGACAAAGCCCCACGCCCTCGTGTCCCACCGCCCACTCACAGCACAAGGGAGGGTCTCGCGCAGCAGGCGGGCGGCGCGGGGAGGACGGATTTTAACACCACATCCTGTTTTATGCAACATAGCAAGAGTAACTCTTAGTGTAGTGGTTCCTACCTCAGCCCGTAGTTCATGGTGTCTCTATGCAGTGCGTGGCAAGTCCCAAACCTGCCGTTTCTCACCCCGGGCTGACGCTGCTGTGTTCCCTCCTCCTCGCCCCGTGTGCCGCGTGGTCCCAACAGCAGAGGCCCCAGCCCCCCGGCGTGGGACCCCGACCCTTCGCCATCAGCTTCTCTAGAGTAGCGACCAGCACCAGCCCCACTTCACCTCTGCAGTTCCCACCCAGCGTTTTACTGCAAAACCACGAGAACTGGTGATTTTTTCATGGTCTGTTTTTTCCTGTACGTTCCATCTTACGTCTCGTGTTTCACGACCCGTTAGTTTTACCTTGTCTTTATATTAAAATGTTGTTTCCATAGGTTCTTGTATCAGAACAAGAAGAAACTCTCACACTAGCGTACTGCATCTCTAAGCAGTAGATGGTAAAATACCTGAAAATGTGAATTTCTTAGTTTTCATAAAGGAAAAAACCCTAGAAATTAACCTTTCATGTGCCAAATACTGTAAGTTACATTTTTTCCTTCGACATGTACCTTTTTCTACATATTCAATACCTTAGTTAGCATAAAATCATTGGTGCCATGAAAAGTATTTTTAAATTTAAATAAATATTTAAATATCATGAAAACCAGAGTTGGTTGTGAGGTTTGTTCTGCACTTACTGTGCCAGTACCAATTTTTCACTTGAGGAAAAAAACGACCAGCCAAACCCAGCTCAAAGCCCACAAGGAATTTGGCTTTTCAGTTGCCCACACACCAAAGTTCTGAGAAACCCCTCCAGTCCCACTGATCCAACATTTCTTCTCCTTTTGAAAAACCCCTCCAGTCTTGGGGAAAAACATCTCTTCTGGTACAAACTGCCTCTTGTAGCAGGATGAGTATATATGTGGGGTTTTTTTCTAATTAAGAGAATGTCAAAGGTGGTTTAGAAGATTTATTTTAGAACCTTTAAAGTACACTTCTGCCCTGAGGAAGGGCAGTTAGCTCAGGGACAGCTCAGGAGGGATTAAACAAATGTAATGCAAAAAGCCAAATCTAAGCCACCTTTTTTTATTCTTTGAACACATGAAGGCGGCCACTGGAGTTGCCACCCACTAGAATGTTCCTACTGGGGTGAAGAACATTAATGGAGCACACAGAACTAAGACAGTCAATGTTATAGAAAGAGTGCAACAACTTCCCAGTGTCTTGGAAGACTTCTATTTGCCTCGGACGTGCCATGCTGCCCACCACGAAGCAGTCCTCCTGCTTAGGGTCCCATATTGCCCTGAACCTGGTTAACCAGCGTCCCGTGTTGTTGTTGTGTCTTCAGAGAAACAAAGAGAGAAAGAGAGAGAGAAAAATACTGGATTCAGTAAGAGGAACGTTTCTATCACCATCTATGTCATATTTCATCGTCCTTGCCTGCTGAACCATCAGCCCCATTGCCCACTGGAGCCATCCCACTGCTTGGCTCCACCCAGTGCATCCCTGTCCTGTGCTGGGGGGATGGGACAGAGACATGTAATGGAGCAAGAAGATACTGCAGAGGGTGATTTGGCAGAAGTGGTTAGTGCACAAAGCAGGTCTGCTTCATGGCTGCAAACATGCATCAAGCCTTTTGATAAACTGCAAGCTAAGAGTTCTCAGTCCCTGGGGCAGCTCCAGCATCTTCACAAACCAGCCCTGACAGTGACTTGCCCTCCTGGAGCACCAAGGTGTCCTACAGCTGTGGAGACTTGACCCAAGCCCATGTGCTTTACTGTTCAGAAGTAACCTTTGCTATTTAAACAATGCACCAGGAAAATAATTTCCAAACAAAACACACGTCAGAAGTCCCAGACCAGCCTGCTCCAGATGCACAGGAAGGCAATTCCAGCTGCCCTACATGCTTCCCCCACCCAAAACAGGACACGTGGGTCCTGCAGCCCCTGCACCCCCCTCCCTCAGGCCACAGGAGCAGGACAGTCCCAGCAAGCTGCCCTCTGCTCTGGGGGGGTTCAGCTTACCTGACAGTGCTGAGAACTGGGACTGTCGGTGCCAAAGAGGTGGTGTCATAGACCCTGTAACACGAAGTGTGAGTTAGCACAGTCTGTGTGACACAGGCAGCCCTGTCCTCACACAGCACAGACCAGCACAGGCTGCAGGGCAGTAACCAACAGCACACACACCCAGCATTCCAACTGCAGTTATTACATTTGTTTTTTAAATTGGATTTGCTTTTAGCTACAACTGCAGCTCATCCTCCCTTAAAGCTGTTAGAGAAGGATGGCCAGGCCCAACGAGGGGCTCATCCAGGCCCTTGGTTTTTGTAAAAAACAACAGTACCTCTATTTTACTGTTCAGTGTTCAATACTCTTCAGCAAAGCAAGAATTAGGAAAAAAATCCACCACCACTCCCCCCCCAAGTAATGAAAAGCAATATTAAAAATGCCAATGCAAGTAAATCTTTATCACTTTTTAAAAAAAGTGAAGACAGGGAGTTCTCAATGGTGGGCAATGCAGATAGGAAATAATAATAATAAAAAAAATACCAGTGACATTTTTCATACAATTATTCCTTTCCCAAGGCCTCACCTCAGCTTATCATCAGCACACACTGTCACTACCCTGCTCCCAGTCACTGGGGAGAAATAGGCAGAAGCAACACTTTTGGTGTGTCCGTTCAGAGAGCTCACAGGCTGGTTCCCCTGGGGCTTCAGGTATCGAACGTCAAAGACACAAACATCCCTGCAACACAGACCACACAGAGCACTTGACAAGGTGACAGTTAAATCATTATCCTCCATTTGCCAAAACCACTCAAGAGACACAGGTTTTATGTGAGCTGCCCTCAGAGCCTCACATCAGCAGTGCATGTCCACGTGGATGGCCAGTGGCTCCACAGGGTTTGGAGAGCACCAACACCAGCCCCAACCAACAGCTCAGGAAATCCCACTGAGCTGCCACAGGGACCCTTTTGGACCCACTACCAAAAGGTGAAGGGAAGTCAAAGTGTATCACACCTTTAATCCTTCTAAGGACTAAAAACTTGCTTTCCAAGAAGATGAAGAAAGCTTTGACTCTACAGTGGGGCTGACAATTTCTCTGCCTCATCAACAGCAGCCCCTGCCCTCCAGATGTGCAGAGCTGACCCCACTCTCTGCCTCATCAACAGCAGCCCCTGCCCTCAGTGCAGAGCTGACCCCAGACACAGAGTAACTGCCCTTCCTGTTGAGCTACGTACACTGAGCCAGCAGCAAGGACATACTGCCTGTTCACTGGGTGAACATGGACTGTCCTGGTTCTTTTGAAGCCAATGTCTGCAGAAAGCTCTGAAGACGTCCCTGGGGTCCGTCTGTCCACCAGGGAGACGTTGCCATTCCAGTGTCCTACAACTGCAGTGGAGGCACTGTCTTCCAGGAAGTCAAAGGAAGAGAACTCTTCTTCACTTCTGTATATCTGAGCACAGGAAAGGTCAAATGTAACCAGAATATTCAATAAAATGCAGAGTTATTCACAACACCCAAAACACTCCACAGACTGTACATTTCAGGCTTTCCCTTCTGAATATACAAAACCCACTCATGAAGCCTAATGAGCTATCCACACAGGCAACCCTTCTGTACAACTGCTGTGCTTTCCACAGGGGACATCATTACCCATCCCAAACAGCCTGTCAACAGCATTCTCTGAACTCCCTGTCAGACCCTTACAAGACACCATCACCTGTAGGTTCCAGTGGCTGTTACCCCCAGCAAGGGTCACTGACCATGTCCATTTCTCCACTGCTACAGGCACCTTTGGTCAGGTATAGAAACATGAAGTTGGCTTCCTATCATTTGGGAGATGAGAGCTGGGATCTCAACCCATCTTATCCCACAGCAATTTCCCCCCAAAGCAGCAATTAGTCACAAGTATAATAATGCTGCAGGGACACATCCATGTTCTGTGTCTCTGGGGGTGCAGACTCTCCCCACAAGCAGCTGTGCTCTTTCCAAAGTCAGCAATGCTCCTGGAGGTACCTCAAGGTAAATGGGGCAGAACAACCTCTCTCTTCCTCCAGCCTCCAAAGAGACTTTCTTGCAAGCACTCATCTCCAAGAGCAAGCCCCTGGGTCCTTCCTGGCCCCTTGACCAACCAACTGCAGATACTTCCCAAGTCTCTGGTCTGCCTGCAACCCCACCAAAAAGACAGTGCCTCTAGGGACTGGGGGAAAAAAGAAAAAGCTTTAAACTGTTTCAGTTTATTACATCTGCCAGTGTTGGAAAGCTGATCAACGCAGATGCATCTCTCAAATAACAAGCAATCAAAGCAAGCACCATGAACCAGCACAGATAAGCTGCCTGGCTCCCCATGAAGACAGCCAAAGCACTTTGCTCACTTGAAGCCTGAGAAAGCCAAGTCAGCTCACACTTCATGTTGGTTTACAATGTTTATTTGGATGTCGTGGGGTTTTTTCCTAAGATTTAGTTCTTTAAGTTGCTCACTTGTCATTGTTAAAAGGTACTGCTTTTGAAAAGAGGCAGATATTGCTTAAGTACAGAGATACAAAACTAAATTCAGTAATTGCAACTGCAAGAAAACTGGGAGTGCCCAAGCTGCTGCTGTGTTTTTCTGACTAGGATGCATCTCCATATTTTGATGACATTAATTAGAGATTACTTTGTGTTCCTTGTAGAAACAGAACCTCAAACTTCCTTGATAACCAAACACCCAACAAATAACAAGTTGGGTTCAGGGAGACAAAGCCTTGGCAGCCAAGCACACCAAGAGCTCCCCACAGGAGCACTCACCTCGTCAAAGACAGCCCTGGTGACATCTCCACAGCGCAGCACGTCGTGGCTGAGGGACAGCAAGTGAGCAGGATTGGATGGAGAAAAATGCATGCAGCTGACAGAGTGGTTGTGTGGGACAAAGGTGTGGGCTCCTTCTGCAGACACACAGCTCTGCAAAGCAACAGAAACTGAGTGGGCACACGTGCTAATCACTGAGGTTATTTCAATCGGTTCCTGCAACCTGCAAAGTCACGTCTCTTGATTTTTTTCTCATGTTCTCAGTCTGCTCTGCTCACTGCCCAGAGGAGGCAGCAGGGTGCTTGATGGGTGGAGACATCAGGCTGGGTAACAGGCAGCAAGGCTGCCTGGGGCACTGCCCAGGCCAACATCTTACTGGAGGACAGGAGTTCCTCCTCAGTCCCTCCTCCTGGACCCCTCAAGCCAGCACTGCCAGGCCAAGGCCTCCCTCCAGCTGCCCCCTGCTCTGCTGTACCAGGGATTTGGCTCAAAACAGCATGAGGAGTTTGCTCTCAGCTTCAGAACTCCTAGTCAGGAGAAGCTGCCATTTCCTGCTGCAATTTAAGTGCACTGTGACTGCAGCCACCAGTGCTGCACCTGGACACAGACACCTGGCTCTTCTCTGACAGAAATGGTTTCTCAGGTACCACAGCTCAGCACCCAGTGAGGCCCAAAGTGTGTGTGTGTGCAACATTTACATCAAAACATGTACATATCAGGTTGCTCAGAACTCAGACTAAACCACAGTGACCCCAACAGAAATTCAAACATAATCCCCCGTTGTCATCTCTTCTGATTTTGGCATCATTCAAGCTCCATTATTTTAAAAGAAAATGAACAGATAATTTTGGAACAAGTACCAGTTAATTCCACAAAGACTACTCTGCTCACAGTCTTGGCCAAGTCCAGCTCACTTCAGGAAAATGAAAAAGGGAGGATAAAAGGGAAAATAAAAGCTTTAACAGTTCTAGGTTTTCACTGAACTGCCCTTGCAAGGCCACAGAAAAACTGCAGCACTTGAGGCCTCAGAGTCCCCATCACCAGATCACAGCCCCTGCCAGGCCCAGCTGCACACCCAGAACTTTCTCAGCTGCACACAGCAGTTTAAACTTCTTTATAGCTGACTACAGTCTTGGAGCTGAGTTGAGCTGATCAGTTTCCTGAAGCTGTTGAAGCAGAAACAACTTGAGAGGTTAATGGCATTGTGAAAATGAGAAGAAAATCCACATCTATGGGGATCTGAAGCAGCTGGTTGGGCTGAGGTGGGATCAAAGCAGAGGGCACGGGGGGGGCTACAGAGATGTCAGTCAAGGCCACCAATAAAGATTCTTGCTGCAGGAGTAATTAAAGCAATTAAAAACCAACAGTGAGACTATCTGCAAAGCCCTCTAAAGCTTCCAAAGCCCCAAATGCCAAGTGATTTTTCCAAGGCAATGTGTGTGCCAGCACACATACTGGTAGGACAATCTTATCTCTGTCATCTGGAAACACAGTGACTCAAGTGTAGCTACCCCAAATCTGTACAAACTCAATAAACAAACAGTTCATTTCCCCTCAGTCTCCAAAGCCCAGCCCTGCTATCACTACTGTAACTAGATCCTGGATCTCTCAATGGTGAACTGCAGTTTTAACCCTCACTGATAATAACACTTCAGCTACTGACCCATTTTCTTCCACTCTCCCCCCAAAATCCCCAGTGCAACCTTTTTTCCCTTTAGACCTGGGCTTACCAAGGACCAGACAGACCTTCTCACCTGGTGAGCACCAATTCAACAGACACCCCCGTGTTACCCACAAGAAGGGGAACAGCACAGAACACCATGCAGAGCCTGACAAAGTGACACTCCAGCCTGTGCCCCACCTATGCCCACCCCGCAGCCTACAGCTCTGCAGGTGAAGAGCAGACTGGCACTCACCACGTTCCAGAGCCCGACCTGCCCCAGCTTGTCCCCAGCAGCCACGAGGATGCTGCTCTCCGAAGGGTGGATGGCCATGGAGCACACCCGGTACTTCACCACCTTCTTCACGTTCTCCTCGCTGATGACCATGCTGCTCAGGCTGTCTTGGTATCTAGACAACATCATTCAAACGTTAGCTCCTCGAGGGAGAAGCAGAACCAGGCAGTTCCCAGTTTTTAACTCTGTCTTCTGCTCACCTTTTCATGTCACTCGTGCGCTTCTCAGCATCACCCACTTTCATCTGCAGACAGGCAAAAAAAGCAGAATTCGATTGCTCAGAACTTAACCCAAATTACCTTAGAAAAAAAATAATTAATTGTAACTAGTAATACCTCACTGATCTTCATCCATGTTGCCAGTAAGTCCTCTGCCATTTTACTGTTCTCCACCTGATCTTCTGGAACCATCGGCAAAGGTCCGGCTGGAACCTGAGGCTGGAACGACAGCAGCAATTTTCATAGCTCAAAACAACTGAAACCATCAACAGGTGGAACTGTGACTTTCCACACACCAGGTATTCTGAGAAAACATCCCTGATAACACAAGAAATCAACAGAATGACATGAAAGTTTGTCTCAAATCCTATTAAAATATAAACAACTTTACTTTGCACACAGTGGCAACGAGAAAGAGCCACCCTCAGTTCCTTCCTCTCCTTTCTGACACTTCAGCAGGGTTGATCTTCAAGAGCTGTTACAGAGATTCAGCTTTATTCTGCTGCACCATGGAAGATTTAACTTCCCCTCTCTCAGAGCAACAGGATCTTTACTTGTTGCTATATAGCTACTTCAAAAGGTAGTAAATACTTCAAAGAAAAATATACTAGACCAAAAGTTACAGTGAAGTAACATTAGAACGGAGTAATGCAACTCAGAATGTAAAGCTGCTCAAATCTATGGGTTCTTGAAAAACATGTAAAGAAGTTTTACCTCAGGACCTTTCTGCTCATCCCAAACTCCACTATTTACCAACTTGAGCCACAGAACACTGCCTCACTTTCAGGGGAGACCCAGGGAGCCTGATGTTCAAGACATGTGAGGGTGAAGGAATTGACCTTCTCTTGTTGCCTCTGTGTAACCTCCTGAGTGCCTGCAGGTTCTACAATAAGCTCAGCAGTGACAAGGATCATCAGTCCACTTCACCAGCACCATTTTCATGAAGCTGCTGCATACACACACACACACACAAGTCCTCTAACCCTTCCCCATCTTACATATTCCTCTGCTTCTGGCTGGGCAGGCAGCTCTGGCACTGGAATTCCCGAGGGCTCCACCCTCTGCAGGCGCATCGATCTCCGACGCACCGTTTCATCTTCTGCCTTCTTAGGCTTAGCTCTGGAACTATGGAAACATGTCCAAAGCAGGGGGACAGTTAAGGAACAGAAGCCCTCTGCATTTAAGTACAAGAGCAGAGCAGGTTCAGGTGACAGCTCTGGCAGCGTGGCCAGGCTTCCTGATGCACTCCAGGAGGGCTGAGATGGCTTCTGATTGCAGCAAGGAAAGCACTTCTCAGCACTGCTGTTCTTGTGTTGCTTGTAACCTGCCACTTTGCTCCTGAGCCCTCCTTATTTACAATTCATCTTTCCACTCATTCACCTACTCATCTTTTTCTACTTCCTTTCAGTGTGTATCTTACTGTTTTGCACTTAGGCCCATTTTCCTGCTTTGCCTGGCACTGTTTTGGCACTGCCAAGTGTCCTGTCTTCTACACCAACTGGTTATCCTACCACTTGCATCTAGCTCTGCCTCCCTCTTCCTTTCCCACACCTTCTCCTATCATTTGTTTTCATCCTTTAACATTCCTTTCTTGAGCCATCAAGCAAAAATGTCACCAGAAAAAAAGAAATGGCCTTGAAATAGCTGAATGCAAACATCACAAAAATAACAGATTCTGTAATTTGATGAAAAATATATTAATATTGTTGCTTTCTTTCCAAAGGATGGCAGGGCAGAAGCAGTACCCAGAGGAGCTGTTCCCAAATTCACAGTGGAAGACAATCAGCTATTTAGCTTTAGCTTTATAAGGAGACTCCTCACAGGCTCTCCCTCCTGCAGTACCAGGTGTGTGCAGACAGAAGTGCTACCAGAGCTCACAGGCAGGGAGGGAACAGGAACACACATCTCCTATACAGTTACTTTACCTTTTGGTGACATGGGACTGCCTTTTAGTTGCAATTTGATGAAGTCTTGCAGCTGACTTAAAGAGAAAAAATAATGTTAATAAAACAAACGTATAACAAGCATAAAAGATCAACATGTATAAAACAGAATTCTCTAAAGTCTGCAATCATGGTAATTATTCACAACAATAATAAAAAGGGGTTTTTAAGCATCGAGCTGTGTGTTGTGATTGCTTTGCTTCTGTGCACCAGTGAGAATTCCCTGATTCCTGGGAAGGGCATGGAGGAGCACAGCTCAGTGTGTTCTCTCCTTGCAGAACAGACAAAACTCGAGGTGCCAGGCAGCACAGACTGAGCACAGAGGCCTCCACTCAGCATTCTCACCATTTAAAGATGACCAGGAAGGGGTTGGATCTAGATGATCTTTCAGGTCCCTTACAACCCAAACCATTCTATGATTCCATTCATTTGGACTCCAGGGAAGTTCAGACATGTCCAGCTCACCACCAGACACTCCCTGCTCTGCTTCCACTGCAGCCCAAGCTGCACCAACCCTGGCAGGAGATGATTTACCTGCCCCCGGGCTTTGGCAGCCCACACTGGCCAGTGCCAATGGCACCTGGGGTGGCTACAGCTCCTTTTCTAGGCTTCACTACTCTGTGCCAGCGCTGTGGCTGCAACCAGCCTGTCTACTCTCTGCTGACCTCTCCTGGGGGAACTGGGAGAAGAGGAGCTGTTTTCACCCAAGTTTCAGCCTCGGTGGTGAGGAGCTGCACTGCCTGCCAGGCCCAGCCATGCCAACCAGGCCCAACCTGGTACACTGAGCATGCAGACACCCAAAGAGGCAACTCCCCCGGTGCTGCCAGAAAAGGATGTATTATGAATTAAAAATAAAAAATCCAAGAGAATTAGTGCGGAAAGAAGAACAAAGACTCGACTCCACTGTAACCTTCTAGACAACTTCACCAAGATGGGAAGAATTACAACACCTGTGTGTCCACCCAGCCCAGACAGGACATGGGGAGGGACACATGAGGGTCTCCAGCAGTACAACCCCCAGGCTCTGCCCAGGAGCCTCTCCAGCACAGGGCAGTGAGCTGAACCCTCCCACCACCCAAGCCCTGCACTGAGAGAACCACCAACCCGTGGGTCCTGCACCTGAAGAGCTGGGTGGCTCCACTGGGAAGGTGGGAGCACAGGGCACACAGGACACTGCCTGGGCAGCCCCACCTCCACGGGTCACCCAACCCACAGACCACCTGCTGCTGACAGGTCTGCAGTTCAGGGACCACGGGCAGCAGCCTGGTGGGGGCTGCTGGGATGGAACACCCTCTGGAACACCCTTTCTTCACTTCTAAGAAGTTTAACCAATTCCCTCCCCTCTGTGGAAAAAGCAGCACAACCCCACTATTTGTTATCCAGTGGGGGCAGCCCTGATGCCCCAGGAAGACACACCCTTAGGGAAGGGTTTCACCAGGGCTGACAATTATCACTGGAGAGGGAGCATTTTGAGGCCACTCAGGATCTATACACACCTCATGCAGCTTTAAAGCAGCAAAGAATTTAGCATTTTCTGTGATGTTCTTTAGCCTCTTCCTTTCATAAGCTGATAACTGTGAGTATCCATCCTGCAAAAAGAAAAGCAAATTACTCTTCATCTTACAGCTATGGGGCATGCAAGGGATGTCCTGGGAACAGTCTCTAAATTGATCATCTAAATTATTTAAAAATGGCTCAATATACTTGTAAACATACAAACTGGGCTGATCCCAGATCAGTACCAGAACTCATCCAGCCAGGCACCAGTTTGCATTACAAGACTTACTACCAGCATTAATTCTACAGAAAGGGTCAGTCCATCACATGGGACCAAGGCACCCCCTGAAGGGAATCAATAAACACTTTAAAACTTCACCAATACAACAAATACTGCCCACAAATGGAACACACTCTTAGATAATTTTTATCTCCCACAGAGGAGAAGGGGGACAAGTTGAAATGATGATTTAAATATAAATGAACATTGACAAAACTTTCCTATCTCATGGCTGCATCAATCATTAAAAAGGCCTGGAAGGAGATGATCCAAGCACAGCAACGTGCTGATGGGGGGTTACACACTCTGAGAGCAACTCCTTTTTAGTCCTTAAACAAAGTTTTACACTGCGAGAAGCTAAAACAAGCAAAAAGGAGTTACATAAAGGGGGAAAACACTTTCAGACTTGACTTCAGTGTGCCCGGAGAGGCGCTGAGCCCCGCGGGGACTCACCGGGGCCGCGTCCCCCGCATCGCTGCCGTCGCT